TGGGGCTTGGAGGAGCTGCGGGGGGCGCCCCCGAGGGGTGGGCCTGGAGGCGGCCCAGGTGTGGGACCTGCCCAGGGTTGGGTGTAGAAGGGTCCCCGCTCAGCCGCAGAGGCGGGAGGCTGTGGCCGTGGGCACCCTCCTATGAAAGAGAAGGCACAGACGCCCCTGGGGGCCCCGCACGCTTCCTGCAGGAAACGCGTGCTCAGGAACTGGGAACGTGCCTCTCCTTCCTGCCCACCCCCACCCCCGTGCGCGCATGTGTGTGTGTGTGCGCGCGCGCGCGTGTCCGCGGGACGGCTGTTCCCCGCAGGTGGAGCCAGGCTGGCTGCCCCGCATTGTTCCTGGATCTCCTGTGGCTGCTGCATCTCAGAATTCCAGGGAAGGTGGAGGGTGGGGCTTGGCCACGTGCCTCTGTGCGCGAGTGTCCTCGAGGCTGTGGGCGTGGCTGAACACTCACTGCAGCCTGCATGTCTTGTTGGGCCGGCTGTCTGTCTGTCTATCCATATTGGACGGCAGGTGAAGGTGTGTGAGCAGGTGCTGCTGGTGCCCTTGAGCGTGTGTGTGTGGGGGGCGGGGGGAGGGCCTTTGTGCTGAGTGTATCCACTTTGAGGGTATTGGTGCAGTGTGTGTCTGTGTGCGAGTGTGTGTATGTGAGAGTGTCTGTGTGTGTCTGTGTGAGCGTCTGTGTATGTAGTGAGAGCCTCGCCCTGTCCCCACTCACCTGGGGGCAGGAGTCCAAGGACAACAGCTTTTGTAGCAGGTGGGCAGCTGAGAGATGCAGAACCTACCCCCGGGCCTCAGCCCACCCACCACCCCACCCCCTGTCCAGCCTGAGGAATTTCCCCCAGAGTCCAGTCCACACTGTCCTTTCTGACTTCTTTCTCCAAGCTGCCCAAGCCCTCAACCTGCTACCACCCCTCCCCTGCCCTCCAACCCCGCCCCCTCCCGCCCCGGGGCTGCAGAGCCAGGGAGCCCCTTGCCCGGGCTGTCCCCATGCCCCATGCTCGCCCGCCTGTCCCCTCTGCGGCAGTGACGTGTGCCCTCACAGCCCAGATCCCATTTCCAAACATTAATAACTTCTTAACCTCCAGCGGGCTTTTTCCAGCTCCGCTGCCAAGCCCTCCCTGCCCAGCAGGCTGGTGGCGTGGGGTCTCTCCTTGCCCCATGCACTTCCCCTGTCCCCCAAACCAAGTTCTGCCCCAATGCCTGCCCCCCTAGCTTCCCGGCTCCACTGCAGTGGCAGCTGCAGCCTGAGGGGCGGCTCTCTGAGCTGTGGAAGGAGGAGCGGCCCTGGGGACACCAGGGGCCAGCCCACCCCAGCCGTGCCTGGCCTGGGGAGGGACAGCAGCCGCCTCAGAAGGGGGTGCTTATGGGCAAGTTCCCTGCCAAGACTAGGAAGAAAGAGGAGGGGGAGGTAGAGGGGGAGAGGGAGGGGAGTCCTCAACCAGGGCCTGGCACTGCCTGAAGTGCTGGAGAATAGTGGGGGTGGGGCTCTGACCGGCCCAGCTGGAACTAGGAGTTTCTTGGGGTCAGAGCTGGAGCTGAGAACCGGCAGCTTTTGTGGACCCAGAGGGCTCGGCAGCTCCGCTGGTAACTCTTCAGGTTCTGGCTCCAAGGCAACGGCCAGGATGGGGGACCCCAGAGGGCGCTCCCAGTTGATGGTTTAGGGAACTGCTGGGTAACAGGTTCCACACCGAGTACGAGAGGCCGTACAGCCGTCACTGGGGTGAACTTCCCAGGGCGGGAGCTGAAGTCGGGAGGAAAGTAACAGCCGTGCTGAGAGGCGGCAGCATGCGGCCGGCTCTTCCCGTGACGTCACACCCACTCGGGAAGGAAGGGGAGGAGGCCCGAGAGGCACGGGACCCAACCAGGGTAACACAGGAACATGAGGCCCTGGGACCAGGATCCTGGCACCCCGGAGACCTAGGGGTGCTGAGGGGGAATGAGGGCCCCCCACTCCACACACCCCCTGCGGGGAGCTCCGCACCTGTCCCTACGCAGGTGGCCCTGTGCCCAGGAAGGGGCTGCAGCTGGCAGGAGCGCCAGGGAGCACAGCTGTCGCTTCTGTGTTGCTTTGGGGCAAGTGGAATAATTGGCTATTGTGGCTGTGGTGTCGGTGCACACGACGGGTGCTGAGGGGGAATGAGGGCCCCCCACTCCACACACCCCCTGCGGGGAGCTCCGCACCTGTCCCTACGCAGGTGGCCCTGTGCCCAGGAAGGGGCTGCAGCTGGCAGGAGCGCCAGGGAGCACAGCTGTCGCTTCTGTGTTGCTTTGGGGCAAGTGGAATAATTGGCTATTGTGGCTGTGGTGTCGGTGCACACGACTGCGCGTGGAGAAACGTGTGTGTGTGTGTGCGCGCGCACGCGTGTCCACGGGCAGGGGCCATGAGGCCCTGGGACCAGGATCCTGGCACCCCGGAGACCTAGGGGTGCTGAGGGGGAATGAGGGCCCCCCACTCCACACACCCCCTGCGGGGAGCTCCGCACCTGTCCCTACGCAGGTGGCCCTGTGCCCAGGAAGGGGCTGCAGCTGGCAGGAGCGCCAGGGAGCACAGCTGTCGCTTCTGTGTTGCTTTGGGGCAAGTGGAATAATTGGCTATTGTGGCTGTGGTGTCGGTGCACACGACTGCGCGTGGAGAAACGTGTGTGTGTGTGTGCGCGCGCACGCGTGTCCACTGGGCAGGGGCAGGCAAGTGTCCGGTGGGAGAATGGTCTGTGGGGGCAGGTCCAGCCCTTCCATGGCCCCATCCCCCCGCCACCCACACCAGCCCCGGCCTGGCCTAGACCTGTGGCCCCCGGGCGCACTGAGGACGCGTGGTGGCAGCCAGGAATGCTAATGGTGCCAGGCTCCGCATGAACTAAATTTAGAAACCCAAACCAAGAAGGTGAATGGCGCTCACCTTCCGGGCAGCAGGCCCAGTCGCCGCTGCAGCCACGGCCCTCCTTCCAGCCAGGGATGGGGGGTGCCCCCCCCCCGTTCCGCCCTTCCCCTCCCCGACTCAGGCTGGAGTGAGAGTCAGTGGGCCGCCTTCTTATGAGGGAGCGTGTTCAGGCCCTGCCCCGCCTCCCAGCCCCAGGCGCGAGGACCCCAGGGAGCCCCCAGACAGTGAGGGGCACAGCCTGGGCAGGACTGGGCACGGGCCTCCTCCCCACCCCCGCGGCTCACGTCACTGGCTGCTGCCAACCTTGCCCTGCAGGATGCCGCCCCCACCATCTGGGGGCAGTGACGTGGCCGGTGTGACGTAGCCAGGGTGATGTGGCCAGAGAGCCATCTGTCTGTGGCAGAGGGAGCTGCGCTTCTGGGAGCCGGGCCAGAGCGACAGGACGGGAGAGGCCCCAGCCTTGGGGTCAGGGATGGGGTGCAGGTCAAGGCGGTAGGGCAGGTCTTGGGACCCATTGAGGCCCAGGAAGAGCCAGCCACAGAGCAGGTACTGGTGAAGCTGGCACCCCACAGTTGTGACCCCCTTGACCTCTGACCTTGTTGCCAAGGCTGGGCTCCAGTCTACCCCGCTACCCCAGGGGAGTACCCCGCTGTCCCGGGGGGAGTACCTCACTTCCCTAAGGGGAGTACCCCGCTACTCCAGGGGGAGTACCCGCTACCCCAGGGGGAGCCCGTTCTGTGGAGGCAGGGAGGGTGCAGCCCTGGGTCCCGGGAGTGACGGGTGCTGTCTCCGCAGGGCAAGCGCTACAAGAACTCCTTGGAGACGGTGGGCACGCCCGACTCGGGACGTGGGCGCAGTGAGAAGAAGGCCATCAAGTAGGTCCCAGCCTTGGAGTTGGGGATGGGGGGTGCAGGCAGCCCAGGTGGGAGGAGCCCCGACCCTCCCGACGTCTACATCTGCCGCACACATCAGTCCCCCTCAGCCCTGTGCCGTGCTCTCCCCACCCGCACACTCCCTGTGCCTGGCGGTGGCTCCAGGCCCCGCCTTCTCTGCCGGTGCCCCCCAGCCCCTCACCGTGTTCCAGGCCCCCAGCCCCATTTCTGGCTGCCCTCCTGGCACCGTGTCCTCCCTCAGCCCGGTTGCTGGTTCCTCCATCCACCCTTCACGTCACACACACCACGCCCAACCCCGCCCAGCCCCCCACTCTTTTCTCGGACCCTGTCAGTGTTCTCAGGGTGACCTGGAGGGGTGCAGCCCAGCGCTGGGCTGCTCAGGGGACGCTGGTAACGGGGAAGCTCCCCTGCCCCATCCCCCCATCCCCAGCGAATGTCTTGCTGCCTCTGACCCCCCATTTTGCTCTGAGAGGCCTTTCAAGTAAGCAGGTCAGCCTTCCACTGTGGACCACCTGGGCCAGCCCACTGCGGAGGGCCCCTCTGCCCCGCCTGGCCGGGGGCTCTGTGCCCTCTGGCCGATGGCCTGGTCCCTTCCTCAGGCCTTCACTGGGAGGCTGTGGGCCCAAGGGCCCCGCCATCTCAGCCTGCCAGCTAAGGGGCAAGCTGCCCCCAGCCTGCCCTGCCCCCCCCCCCCCCCTTCAGCCCCTTCCCCCTGCATCATCCCCCCCCCCCTTCCCTCCTCTGTCTTCCTCCTTTTCTCTCCTCCTTCCCTTCTTCCTCCCCCTGCTCCTCAGGGCTCCCCCTCTGCCCCTCCTGCCCCTCCTCTCTTTCATCTCTAGCTCTGACCCTGTGGGGCCTTCACAGAAGCTGCGGGTGTGTCTGTGGGGCGGGTTAGTGGAGGGTGGGCCCAGCCAGGTTGGGGGTGGGGAGGCCGCGGGAAGCCTTTGAAGCTGGTTCGGTTGCACACTCTCCAGTCTTCAAAGCCGGAGCCCGCAGGTCTCAAGGGCGGTGCAGAGCCTGGCTCAGGGCTTCC